TGGCAAGAGTGGATATCTTCGTTTCTTCAGATTTTAGGGGAAATCATCCAGTCTTTCAACATTAACTATGATGTAGTTGTGGGATTTTTATAGATGGCCTTTATTTGGTTAGGGAGTCCTCTTCTGTTCCTAGTTGGAATGGTTTTTCATGAAAAGCTGTTGGATTTTGTCAAATGCTTTTCCTGTGTCTAACGATATCGTGTTGTTTTCCTTTATTCTGTCAATATGGTATATTACATTGATTGATTTTCGTATATTGAACTAACCTTGCATTCTTGGGATAAGTTCCACTTGATCATGGTATATAACCTTACTTATATGCCACTTGCTCGGGTTTGCTAGTATTTTGTAGAAGACGTTTGCATCTTATATTCATAGGGGATATTGGTCTGTAGTTTTCTTTTTGTGATGTCTTCGTATGGTTTTGTAAATCAGGCTTAGTACTTGCCTCATTGAATGAGTTAGGAAGTGTTCCTTTTCTACTTTTTGGAAGAGTTTACGAAGGACTGGTATTAGTTCTAGAAACATTTGGTATAATTTACCAGCGAAGCCATCCGCCTGTTCCTGGACCTTTCTTCGTGGGATCTTAAAGATGACTAATTCAGGAGAGAGGGATAAAATAGGAGTATGGCATTAACAGATACAAACTACCATACATAAAATAGAGGAGCAACAAGGATTTACTGTATAGCACAGGGAGCTATATTCAATGTCTTGTAATAACCTATAATGGAAAAGAATCTGAAAAAAATATATATAACTGAATCTCTTTGCTCTACACCTGAAACTAACAATATTGTAAATCAACTGTACTTCAATTAAAAATGATTAATTCAATCTCTTGTTATAGGTCTATTCAGACTTTCTGTATTTCTTGACACAATTTCAGTGGTGTGTCTAAGAATTTGTCCATTTCATCTATGTTATCTAATTTGTTGGCATACAGTTGTTCATAATATTCCCTTATAATCCTTTTTATTTTTATGTATGGTAAGGAGTGATGTTCCTTTTTCATTCCTGACTTGGGAAATTTGTACCTTCTCTCTTGGCCTTGGTTAGTCTAGCTAAATTTTGATAGTTTCATTGATATTTTTGCAGAACCAACTTTTGGTCATTGATTTTCTCTCGTTTTTCTGTTTTCTATGTCACTGATTTTATATACCCTTTTTATATACCCTTTTATATACCCTTTTTTATATACCCTTTTTCATGCTTGGGTTTGGTTTACTCTTTTTTAAAAAAATATTTATGTATTTGCCTGCGCTGGGTCTTAGCTGTGGCACGTGGGATCTTTGTTGTGGTGTGTGGGGTATGTGGGATCTTTAGTTGCGGCATGCAGGATCTTCAGTTGCAACATGTGGACTCTTAGTTGTGGCACGTGGGATCTAGTTCCCTGACCAGGGATCGAACCTGGGTCCCCTGCATTGGGAGTGCAGAGTCTCAACCGGCGGACCACCAGGGAAGTCCCTGGTTTACTTTTTTATCTAGTTTCTTAAAGTTCAGGTGGTTGATTTTAGACCTTTCTTCCATTTTTATATAGTCATTCAAACCCATATATAACCCCTGTGCCATTCTTAAGCAGTATTCCATAAACTTTGAAATATATGTTTTTTAATTTAGTTAAAAATATAGTCCATTTCTTCTGATTTCTTCTTTGGCTCATGAATTATTTAGGCATTTGTTGTTCAGTTTCCAAATATTTGGGAATTTCCTTGACTACTTCATGTTTTTCTATTCTAATTTAATTCTAATGTACTTAGAGAACATACTTTGTATTATTTCAGTATTTTCAAATGTATTGACTTTGTTTTGTTAATTTCCCCTTTGTTTTGTTAATTTCCCCTTGTTTAATTGCATTCCTATTATTTGCAATTAAACAGTTTTGAAGGGTATTTCTTTTAGCAATTTGAATATCGTCCATCCTACTGTCTTGTGGCATCCATATTTTCTGATAAGTCAATTGTTAATCTTATTGAGGATAGTTTATATACATACATACATACATATATATATATACACACACACACACACACACACACACTTACTTTTAGGTGCTTGTTAGATACCCAAGTGGAGATTTTAAGGAGAACTTGGATATATGAGTCTGGAGTTTAGGGGAGAGGTCCAGGCTGGAGACAGTAATTTGAGTCTTCAGTATATGGACGGTGACTAAGGTCACTGTGACTAAAGTCATCACTGGATGAGCTCACCAAAGGTGTGATCATACATTGAGAAGGAACCAGCGAAGTTGTCTGAGAAAGATTAACTAGTGAGGTGGGAGGAAACCAGGAGAGTATGATGTCATGGAAGCCAAAGGAAGGGTTTCAAGATGGCAGTGATGTATTATTTCAAATGCTGCTGAGAGATCAAATAAGGCAATAAGAATTGACCACTGGGTTTAGTTTAGTGGATGTCATCATGGATCTTTCATTGGAGTGATTGGAGTGAAAGCATAGTTGGTGCAGGTTCACTAATGAAAGGGAGAATTGGACACAGCAAGTTATAGTTAACTCTTTTAGGAAACTTTTTTCTAAACAGGAGCAGACAAATGGGGTAATGGCTGGAGTTTGACACTGATTCAGGATCATAGTATCATGACATTTCATTCAGTCCCATATTTCTTAAGTTTGAAACTTTTGATGATTTCACTTCAGACATTTTCATTCCTCACTAAGATTGACTCATATTTTCCCTTTGGAGGATATTTGCAGCCTATTTATACCTGTTTGTAAGCCTTTTTGGCTTCCATCCTTCCCATTCTTCCATCTGGAATGATCACTGCATTACTCTCTTTACAGGTCTTACCAATTCTGTCATAATCTAGCCATTAAAGCATCTTTCAGGGTTCCATTTATGTCCCACTTCCTTCATGGAAGTCACTACTGTTTCTCACTGCTTGTTTTCTACATTTACTTAAGCAGCTTCCATGTCCTTGTCTGGCTGGTCCTTGTTTCACAGTCTACAGCTCTATTGTCCAATATGGTAGACACTAGACACACGTGGATTTAAGCTTAGTAAAGTTAAAAATTCAGCTCCTCAGTTACAGCAGGCATATTTCAAATGCTCAGTAGCCGTTATGTGGTTAGCAGCTACTCTTTTGGAGTACACAGATATAGAACATTTCCATCATTGTAGAAAGTTCTATGGTGCGGTGCGCTGGTCTAGAGAAGGAAACTGACTGCTGCACAATTACAGTAAATGCAGTAATTATGTCTACTGCTCATCTTGGCATTTAATAAACTGTGACTCTGTGATTTTACTTCATTCATTCCCCTAAATTGGAAGCTCTTCGAGGCCAGAGGACATTTTCTTTCACGTGCCCCACCATGCTTTACTATAGCACTGGCTCACTGAGTGTGTTCAGTGAATATGAAATGTAATTTTGCATTTTCTGTAGAAAACTCTTTCATAGATGAATTCTTAGATTAACTTAGAATTTTAGATCCTGTAGGACCCTGGAGCATGCCATGAATTTAACCCTGACTAGCAATATTATCTATTTCAGATACCTTTTTTCAGTGCTTGGGTGATAAGAAGTATTAGATAGGGGTTCTCAGGTTTTGGCTACGCATGGGAATCACTTGGAGAGCCTACCCCAGAAACTCTGATTTAATTGGTCTGGGATGTGGTCTGAGGATTGAGATTTTTTTAAAACCCCCAGATGACTCTTCCATACAGCCGAGGTTGAGATTCATTAGTAGAAGAGACTGAACCCCCAGCTCTCCCCTTCAATTCTGCTCATTTACAATTATAAATCAATGTTACCAGTACATTTAAATGTTATCTTTTATCCTATGCAGTAACATTTTTTTTCCCTCCTTATAGTTTCTTATCTCAGTAATCACTATGGTCCTTCTGACACTGATGACTGTCACACTGGATCCTCCTCAGAAACTACCGGACTTATTTTCTGTATTGGTGTGTTTTGTATCCTGCTTAAACTTCCTGTTCTTCTTGGTATACTTCAACATTATAATCATGTGGGATTCCAAAAACGGAAGAAATCAGAAGAAAATCAACTAGCTATATGCCCAAAGAAATGTGAACATGTTAATAGTGCTACAAGCTTTTGTGAAATTTTTGCTGTGTATAAAAAGAAATGATCATTTTGAGAATCATGGAATTATAGGAAAGGAGATGGTGAAAAGTCATTGTTGTCTACACAAAATAAATGTATATGGGGACCAGAGCAATGGAGGCTTTTATTTTCTAACTACTGGGTGGCCAAGAAATATTGTAGTTTTATTAAATTCACAGTTATTATTCAAATGGGAAAATAAGAGAAACATGTCCTTAATCTCAGTGTTTACTTAGGAAATGTACTCTGTAATTTGTTGTCTTGAAAAAAATCTGCAAATATAGTGAGTTTAATGGGAGAATTTAGCCCCTTATTTTTGAAGGAAATCACTAATTTTGGTATTCAGATTTAGTTTTCTTTACAGTTTAGAATGCTTTAGAAATTATATCTCAGGGATTAAATTTGTGATAATCTTTTATATTACTATGAGAAGGCAATTTAAACTATTTAAAGTTTGAACATGGCTCATTACATGTGCAAATTTGAATTTTTTTAGCAAGGCAGAGATTAAACTGTGTTCTTATTTATTTCCAAGAACTCTTGATTTCCCTGAATGCAATTAAACAATGAATTTTCCTAAATTTAAATCTAAGTGGTTTGAATGAAGTCTTTTTAATTACTTATGATCATTAGTTCTAAACTTTCAGGATCATTCTGTTTAAGTTAAGTGGCCTTATACTGGGTTCATCCTTCTGTTTTTCTTTGTTATGACATGGTTCAAGGTTACCAATGCCATATGCATTGATCCATATCATGCTTCATGTTAACGTAGCCCTGTTAATAACTATATATCACTCTATATTAGAAGAAGCCCATCTTTACTATAGTATTCAGTTGGTAAAAATAATTTATTGTAGCCATGTTGTAGATTCTCATGTAAAGATATGTTTTCTTCACTCTCTGTAATAAAAATAACCATTTCCCCATCAACCCATGTTTTTAATGAATATATTTCTTTAATAAGCCATTAAAGCATAATAACTAAGTGGTGGTATATTTTAAAACAATGCAAGCCAAACACATATACTCAAAGAAAATTTGGTTCTAGACACGGACACCTACAGGCTGATGCAACAAGGTATATGTTTTTAAGTCTGATAAAGGAAGTGGGTTTAGACAAAGCAAAAAATCAAGAAGTATTTCCTTCTCAAAGCAAATGTGCATAAAGACTCAAAGGGCAGGTCAGCACAGAAAAGCAGCCTTGAATCGCTGCCGAATCAGCAGGAACATCGCTGTCCATGGTCACCATCTGTAATCACTGTGCCCAAATGTCAGCATCTTGGCTGGCTGGTGTCATCTTTTTTATTTTTTGTAATAGAAAACTTGCATTTAATACAGGATGTTGATTTAATTCAATGATGAGGAAGTTCTGACAACTTCTAAATAGCTGGAGTAGAGAAACATTATTTGAAAATGAAAGTATTATTTAAACATTAGTAAAATGGAATGCACCCATATTCAAGGTATCTTATAGGTGAATTCTAAATAAAAATACATTTCCAGATGATTTAATCTAGTCATATGGAGTTACACTGTAGCTTTAATGGAGACTTGTAGCAATTATCTCATAAGTCAAGGATCTCATATCTATTAGAAACCGGTTTAAGAACAGTCCACTTTGAACTTTGAGGGATTAAGTACCAAAATAACAAAAATGTCCAGTGATGAATTAAGATCAGAAATAGGCAATTCCAAAGCATTTCTCTCAGCTATATTCAGGATTACAGGGATATTTTAATATAAAGATATTTAGCTTATACAAAAAAATTAAAGACTTCTCACTTTATTCACTGATATACCTGTCAAAAAATGATCTGTTATTTTCCAGTTCATTTTAGAGGGAAGGGCTGTTTCTGAAAAATGCAGTTTTCTTTGTTGCCAATAAACTTAGGTATGCGTCTTAAAATGAAGAGAACAGGGTGTATGTTCATGTATCAAATATGAGGCAACAGAAGTCATTTTGTCTTGAAGCCTTAGGGAGGGGAGAAAAATCCCCGATGTAGCATTCTGTCCAAATGATAAAACACAACTAAGTGAGTGAAACATTTACAAAAGTCAAGGCAGCCAAAGGAGCCTCTCTGTTCAAGGGAAAGAGAGTAAGAGATGGATAGGATGTAACTAAATAATGGTTGGAGTAACACAATGGTTTCAAGTCTCAATTGGTCTCTCTCTTCTGTTATGTTCATTGGAAGATCAGGGCCAAGTGTATCCCACGCCTTCTGCCCCCCCCCCGCCCCCCTGCCCATATAAACATTAGTTTTGTGTGTGGATCTTTCTGCTTTGTCCTTCATGTGGCCTCCAAGGGTGATAAAGCGAGAGTCATCTGATCTACAATGAACAGAACTGGGAAGGGATTCTTAGCCGACCCAGCTGTTCTGAAAGGCAAAAGCTTAGTATATCAAGAGGTCAAACATACAGTAACTGATTTAATAGCATTAAGCAAATAGCTACATAACTTGGATTACATATGAAACCAATCTACTTCTTAATCCTTTATTTCCTGACTAATGTAGGTTTCTTTATATGTTTTGGCTTACATTCTAAGGTAAGTTTTCAATGGTAGAACACAAAGGAATTATCCTTTTTGGTATATTTTAGGCAATGTTCTATTAGCACTGTATCACAAAGTATCCTTAATATTTAGCAGATTCTCTAAAAACCTTATTTAAGTAGTACCAATAAAATCACTAGTGAAGGCAATTAGTTTTATTGAGTTACTGTTTAGTATCATTTCAATGAATAGTTTTTAAAAAATAACTCATTTTCATTTTAAGAGGTGAATCTGAAATTTCTGTAAATGGAAAATTAGTTATTTTCAACCTTAATTTGTTAAAAATTTTGTTTCAAATTTTTCATAGTATTTTTATTTTCATGATACAGTGAATTAAATGACATGGTAATACCTTACACAAATTTTGTCAAGACAGTTTGTATAAGATATTATACAAGGGAATAGCATTTTTTTTCCCTGTGGAAATGGTCAAAGAAAAGTATATAAGGTTTAAAAAAACGTGCTATCAATTCTGTGATTCTCTCTTCCCCTTTATTTTGTGACAGCACAAATGATACAAAAAAAACTAGAAAATTAAAAATTTAAAATAATGCTTCAAAGTAATTTGGAGGGGATCTCATATTGCTCCATGAGATATGTCTTTTCTTTAAATTCAGTAGAGTCTGTGTAGTTCAGTTTAAAAACAACTTCATATTTAAAAGTCTACACTGAAAAATACATTCCAATATTTTATAAAAGGAGATGTGGAAATTTTAAAAGTTTGAAAATACTTTTTCTCTACAAGCATAAGAATAACTAGAATATAATGAAGACTCATCCCTGAGATAGCTAAAATAAACTTATAAATTTTAAAAGCTTTCAAAAGAATCTAATAAATACACATCTGGAGCTTTAAATGGGAAAACTGGTACCTAATACCACTATTAGATTTAATCTGAGTTTTAAAATATATAGCTCTACCAAAGGTGCCATTTTTATTAATGCTTTATTAAGTCTATCCACAAATGCTAAAAGTATATAGAAGCATATGAGATACAAAATATAAGTCAAGATCCTCTTCTACATGTTGGCTTACTTTAAAGGGTCAAGAAGAAATGTATTATTTACGTTGAGATTATCTACTGGTGCGTGTAGAAAGTTTAAATTAGCTGCAAGAAATTTTATCTAGACATGCACCTGCCTGTGCTATGATCTGGTATTTATTGGGCAGATTAATTACAAACATTTCTTCTGTTCCTTTAAATATGATCAGGCAGATACAGAAGTTGGCGTTTTCATAGTGAGTGCATTTCTTCTAAATGCCTGCAGGATAAAAAAGATGCTTATTAAATCATCAAGAATTAGTTTCCAAATTAACATGCATCTCATACATGATTTAAGAAATGATTTAAACACCCGTTTACTACGTAATTTGGTACCTAGTTTAGTTAGGTACTGGTCATCTCTCATTTACTTATTTTTGAGTCTTCAAAGCGAGATTCACCTTCACAAATAATTGTCAATATGACTACTCTGACATAGCACTCTTCACTTTATGTGAAGATGGATTTGAGATACTTCGAGAGGGTTCTAAAACTCCAACATGACCTAATGAAAACACCAAATCTTACATGCCTTTTGTCTATAAGCCTTCAGTGCCTTTCAGCAGGTGTTTCCTCCAACAGCTGCCCCCGCAAAAAAGAGTCTTTACTGACATTCCTATTCAGAGTATGTCCCTCTGGGGACTCCTAGTGGTGATAGAAGTTCTTGTCTATTTGGCCTTAGGACACTTGTGTGAGAGGAAGGAAGCCTTTGAAAAAAGCACCCAATGGCAACTGATGGCATATATTCCCATAGGGCATGTGGACCCTTTACTTCCTTAAATATCCCTTCCTTGCTTATACTGGCAGCTATGAATAAGTAATACATGGTGGGCCCCTATATTTCCCTATTCATGACAGTCCACCTATATTCTTCTTGTCCTACAAGTAGATAGGTTGCCAACTTGACAACCAACTTTTGCCAACTCATGAGCTCAGTCTGATCTGAATACTAGTAGAAGATTTTAAGCATCCTAGGGTTCACTTAATATCCTTATAGGTTATTGATACACAGTTATCAGAACTAATGATAATACTGTGGAGGAAAGGAAGACTGCCATTTATTAAAAAGTTACTGTGGGAAAGGTACTAATTAAGCTAATTAATTAATTAATTAATTTGACTTTTATTTTATTTTTGTTTTTTTTGCCACACCGCGCAGCTTGCAGGATCTTAGTTCCCTGACCAGGGACTGAACCGGGGCCCTGGCAGTGAAAGTGCCAAGTCCTAACCACAGGACCACCAGGGAATTCCCTAAGCTGTTTTATATAATCCACAAGGTAAACAGCATCGGTCCCATTTTATAATTAAGGTTTTGGGAACCGAGTGCCTTGTTTAAGGCCACTAGCTAAAGTAGGTAGTAGAGCTGGTGCTGGACATCTAATCCAAATCCCATTCTCTGTTACAATGCCAGGCCCTGCAAAGAAGTCTCATCAGTTGATCATGGCTGCCAGGACAGTTGTGTTGAGAAAGATTCTGAGGCCAAATTTAGGATCCAGCAAAAATCAGTACTTCGATCAATGTGATGTATATCATAGCACAAGAGTAAGGAACAGCAGCATGTTTGTTTTCTCTACACTGTCTTACTGGTTCTGGAGATGAAGATCTCAGAACACAAATGAAAAGAAATTTACATACAGTGATGCAGTTCATGAGTAGTATTTTGACAGAATTCATCCTTTATATAGCAATTATATTCTTTCTAAAGCATATTTTGGATTGTTACTTCCTTAATAATCTTCACTGGTCCATTTCCGCCTAATGAATGAAGTCTGAGCTAATTTATTAGCCTGGTGATCATAACTGTCAATGATATATCTGGAATCTACTGTTCAATCATTCTGCTTCTCTGCCTTTTTTCTTCATGCTGTTATCTCTGCCTAGTATGTTTACACAGCCCATCAACATTACCCATTTTTCAAATTCCAGCTTCCTAGTAAAATACAAACATTTCTATTACTAGGGTCTTGGATGGCCCTCTGTTAGAGATTATGTACAGTGGAATAACTAAAACTGATTTTAAAATCATGAACCCTTAAATAATGACCTAATCACTCTATCCTAAAGGCGGTCTATGTTGTGTATTCCTATACTACTGCTTATTCTTCATTTCGTACTTAGAGTAGGAAAGAATGTTTACTCTCCTCAGTCTGAAGAGGAAGAAATTTCTGTCAACTCTTCTGCTCCCTACAGCCCATGGAAAAGTGACAAATTTGACTGAAGTCCCGAACAGTAGTCCACATTTTACCAGTCATATTCGGCCACTATTCTTACACAACACTCTTCCCCACTATTCAGCTTCCCTTTCACCGTCTGTCTACTCTCAAGTCCAGCTGGCCTTCATGCTTCATAATTTCATGTTGTAAGGAGACCAGCCCATTTTCTCTCTTCTGCAACCAAGCATGTAAGGTAGGTCTGTGGTCTTTACTGTTATAGACACACGTGGACTTGGGTCTATTTCAAGGATCCAGCTTTCTCCTCAGGTTCAGGAGAGCACATGGGATTCAAGATCTAGATTCAGTATGGGAGAGGGGAGGTTCCACTCTGCCTTAGTCCACATTAGTTACCCCAACCTTCTACCAGAGGGCCTGCCATGTTGGAGGTTAATTCCTCCACTAATCAAGTTGACACTTTGATCCTCGTTGGATTCATAATCTTCTTTTGTACTTGCTATTGTACAGAATCCTAGAAAGAAGAAGGGTCTGAACTTGTGTCACTTATCATAGCTTGCCTTATATTATTATTATTTCATGTATATAATATGAATCTTATATCCTTAGCTTGAATACTAGGTTGGCATTAAGCAAAGTGCTTTGTTTATACTAACCCTCACACTTTTGTTAACCAAGTGATTTATTTACCCTGTTTCTATGAAATGTATCTCAGCATCGCTCGTCGACATTAGCCCAAATCATGCTTTCTCCGCCTCTTTTGCTGGTCTTCATACTGTCTGTGGCCTATGGGTTGCTGTCTCCCTTACGCAGTCTCTCTTATTGTAACATTATTTTATAAAGGCTCCATTTTCTAAAGGCTCTGGGAGCGAATGCATATGGGGTGCTTACCCCCACTGAATAATATAGGTCGGGAGGAATAATAACTGAAGTGTGACAGAGGGCAGAAGTGATGTGCAGACAGGGAATCTGGCCACAGTGGTGTCAGGGGCATTGTGACTGTCAGAGGTTTCTAGGGCATAGGACAAGATCAGGGAGTTTAATATCCTCCCTTAGTCATACCAGTTAGGCAGCTGTGACAAATGTATAAAGGAACATGGAAGAGAGGGATCTAAGGAAGTCTTGTGTAAGGTAAGTTATAAGCAGGTTTTGAAAGACAGGTAACATTTTGATGATGGGGGAAAAGGTATGCCAAGTAGAGGAGACAAGAACAAAGATAAGGAAATGAGAAAGGTGCTTTCTGAGGAATGTGTCTAGGTATGAATGGCAAATAATCTGGAGTGACTGAGGCACAAAGACAAATTAGAAAGGTAAGCTGGGGTCAGATCAGGGAAGAGTTCTGAATGATGGTATAAATTTGGGTTTTACTATGAATATGGTGGAGTGACACCTTCGAAAGCATAATTTGTTCAGTAGCAGGACAGGCTGTAGGGAAACGAGATCAAAGAGCAGAGAGGCAGGCTACAATGAGGATGCAGATAATCTGGATGAGAGGTAATGAAGGAATAAACCAGCGCAGTGGACGTGGGAAGAAGTAAACGTTTTGGGAAGTGATATGCCCTGGCAGCAGTTTGGATGTGGGGACAACTGGATCAGACAGAATTGTAAGGTTTTCAGCCTTATCACTGGATGAATGTAATCCCTAGAAAGGTAAAATGAGGGATAATATGAGGGGGGGATGAAATCAGCATATTAGGGGAATAACGTATGGGAGCTGAGATTGTTTACAGCTCAGGAGGAGGGTGACTTATACACTAAGGTGAGAACGAAAGTCAAGGAATGGATGAGATCATGAGGAAAGCACCCAAGGTGAGAAGAAAACATGATCAAAAACCCAGAGAAATGTCTCAAAGGTAGTCAAGTACATTTCACTGTTATTTCTCTCTGTTGCTTCCCACTAAAAGGGAAGTTGACTAGTAGGTCAACCTTAATTCTTTCAAGTTTTTTGAAAGTACTACTCAAAATAAAGACTCAAAAACATCCCTAACATGTGATGATGTTTACTAGAATCCATGAATACAAAGCTATTCTCAGTACTCTTAAGTTTCCCAAAAGTTCATTAATGAGACTGTCATATATTAAATGTGTATATTCATTTGCCAAATGTATGACTGTGAATATTTATGTGTGTATATAACCGTGTATTTATGACAACCATCTAATAGTTTGCTGCTGGATTTCCATAGGTCAGAAATTGTATAAAACATTTTACCCTATAATGAATGAATGTATGTATTTGTATATATATTGTATACTTAAAACTTAATAGGATCTAAAACCTTTGAGCAGTCATGAAACCTGACATTCACTGATTACTACCATGTAGTGGGCAAGAGCACAGGCTCTGGCACCAGACTACTCTGGTTAGTATACTGCCTCTGTCTCTTAAGTGATTCTGGTACAAGGTACTTAACCTCTGTGTCTCAGCTTCCTTACCTGTAAAATAAAGATAATAACTATCTACTTCACATAAGTTGTTGTGAAGGTTAAATGGGATGCGTATAAGTGCTTATAACAGTGTCCGGCACATTGAAAGTGCTCAATAAATGTTAGCTATTATTATAAGCTATTATTTATTGTATAATACAGAATGAACATTTTAAGGAGTGAAAGTGATACAATTTTCTGTAGAAGATGCTTTGCAAATATTTTAAAAACAGTTAGTTAAGAAGATAATATTAATCACTTGAGATACTATTTCCAAAGAAACGTATTTTCAGCATAGAATTCTTTTTTTGCATTAATTTTTTTCTGAGAGAAAACAGGCAACATCTGGTTAGCTTCTAAGAATCTTAATATTGATGCCACTAAGTCTGGGATAATGCTAGTTTTTACTGTGAACCTTCAGTTGCAGGTACACGAAACACTAATGTTACATCATGACTCATAATGCTTCTAGCTAATATGTTATAGTAAGCTATTTATAAATATATCATTTTTACTTGTATTGCTGAATCCACAGGAATTGTTTTGAAGGAAAGGTACAACTAATTAATATGTAATTATTTACTTAATTCAGCACATTTCCAAATTCACTGACTTGTTATGTCTT